TGGTTAGAACATCTAGTGTTGTGACCGGAATAACCAGACTCAACCTTAGTGCTTTGATTATAGAGGCAGTTTATTAGCCGGCGGCTGTCCTTCCAAAGGAGCAGTCCCGAAATGCCAAGATACAGGGTTTTTAAGCCCTAAATCCCATTCCTCATTCTGTCTTAAACACAAAGGTCTATTTTTCTCCTATTCACTACCTGTCAACCCACAGGTCGGTTGTGCAAGCGGGGGTGCAGAAGCAGAAAGCTTATTGTTAGAATGTTATGTTCCCATGGGCGATAGCCTATGTTCCCATGGGCGATAGCCTATGTTCCCATGGGCGATAGCCAAGCAGTAATTTTCCAGCCAGCACACCACTACTGTGCTAACCTATATAATTCTCTCCCTACTTCAAAATCTGGCCAGGTGAGTGTTAGACACTGAAAATCTGGAGCCTTCAAAAATTAAGAGTAAATCAAGCAAGTTTGCGCATACACACACACACACACACACACACACACATCATTTGAAGATTCCTTACCTCTGAAATATTCTCTATAGTATATCTTTAAAGATGAGTATTTAAATAGGATATAGGATTTAATGTACCAAAATTCACTAAAAACCAGCTCTTCAGGAATATGTATGTTCTGCGTGTAGGACCTTGAACAAGTTACTTCACCTCTCAAGCCTCAGTTTCCTCACCTGTAAAATGAGGGTAACAGCAACTATCTCATTGTATTAAGAGGATTAAATGAGTTAAATGTGAAAAGCTCTTAGAACAGTGCCTGCCTTGTACAAAGCGCTATTTAAACATTTGCTAGGTAAATAAAGTGAGATCAAAGCTGGCCTTAGGCAACACTTCCCCAGCCCCAAACCAGTGCCACAGGATCTTTCCCTTTTCCTCCTCTGTATACTCCCTCAGGTGATTCTTCGGTGAACAGAAGCCAAGCTTTTCAGTTCTATGGATGGGCCTCCTACACCCGTGTAGGGGCAGTTTATCTAACAAATGTCTGGAGAAATCATTTCTGTTTAAAAGCAAAATTCAACTGAGTAAATTTTAAACATCTTACTGGCTTTATTCAATGATTAATGAATTGAGCAGCATCTCATCTAGCAGATAGAAACGAATTCTGAGTCTACAGCCGTGCTACCCTGAACAAGCCTAATCTCATTTGATCTTGGAAGCTATGCAGGGTCGTGCCTGGTTAGTACCTGGATGGGAGACCACCAAGGAAGACCAGGTGCTGTAGGCCTAAAAAATAAGGGATTGTAAACTGACAAGGTCCTTGCAATCTGTGAGGTCAACCAAGGGGTGCC